TCTTTCTTTCTTTCTTTCTTTCTTTCTTTCTTTCTTTCTTTCTTTCTTTCTTTCTTTCTTTCTTTCTTTCTTTCTTTCCTCATTTATTTATTTATCATAATTCAAGATTCCCCATGTGTCATATAGGGGTGAGGATATATCCACACATACCTTTTCCTGAATTTCTAAAGAAATGAAAGGATATAATCAAGCAAATAGAGTTATTCACATATCCTAATTGTAAGCTTTTGGGAGAAAGAGAAATGGGCCTTCATAAAATCTGAAAGTTGTGGGATCTCAGCAATAATTTTTCCAAGACATCAAAGTAACTGTAGATCTGTGTCATGAAGTTGATTGTCTTTTCTAAATATTCAATTTTTTATTATTTCTATAATTCTCAATTATACAATTTGTATAAGTGTTAAGCAAATTACCATCATTATTAAGTGAAACACTTCCCCCAATGACTTTGCTCATCAGAAATCAGTGGGAAGGTCGCAAGTGAAATCACACAGTACCAGGATGCAATTGTTGTAAATGCATGCTGATTGTCTAGCACCAAAATTTTGATAACATGACCATGGGGATGCTTCAATGGTCATAAGTGCAAGGACCAGTCATAAGTCATTTTTTCAGTGATGTTGTGACTACAAACGGTTTCTAAATGAAAGGCTGTTGATTCCATGAGTATCTCTACAGTGGTAGCAGAATAGCAATAGAAAATAAGATGCCAGGTGATCAAAGCCTATTTAATAAATAAAATGCTAAACAGTGGGAAAAGATTTGTACATCCCTGTCTGCAACAATACTAGAACTAAGATTCATCCAATAAATCTACTATTGATCAGATGTTGACAAAGCAGTAATTCACTGAGCATAATGCACAGCAGCATATTTTTAGGATTACTAGCCTCTATGGCTTTAAAATTGCATGAGACCAAATTAAGAAAGGTAGCTACATTAATAGTTAATAATAACTTTTAGGTAGCTATGTTTTCTATCAAACTCTTTCTGGATCTTATTTATGCCAAATGGAGATAGTATAGTATGGTATNGGACTAGCTGTACACAAATAAGCATTAACCATAGCAGGATAACTATGCTTAAAAGTATAGCACAGTATAAATTGCATATTTCTAATCCAAGTCACTCTTAAATATGCAGTATTTGCAGGGCAAGTAAACCTTAGCATTGAATACAGTTTTGTTCTACTCATAGAGAATGCCAGTTTCTGCATGTCTGAACTTACAGATAAGGAGGTTTTTTTCTCCTTTTTTAATGAGTGGTATATTTGTTTGCACCCCAGCCCCCACTTCCATTTTTAAGTCTGAGAGAAGGAGGAAAAATGGTTTTCATTAAATATACCTTGATAAGGGGCGCTAAATCCGCGATATCGGTGGTTGCTGTCTGTTACAAAATGAAGTCTTAGCCAGTTTTTGTTGCTGATAACTGGAGGTGGGATATTCATTCCAGATAACCTGAATGAGAAAAAGACAAATAAGACAAACATATTTAATGGGATCAGAAATCCCTAGTTAGTCACCAAGGCCACTAACTTCTTCAAAAGTCTCCAGAAAAGACGTGTACCCATAAAAACAAAATAGGAAACTATTGTGCATTATTTAGTATAATTTTGCACTTCTCTAAATTGGAATGACGAGAAAGAATGACAAGATAGGCCTTTTCTATTCTTTAGGAAAGAAGTGTTAAATAAAGGACTTATGCTAAAGAATTATAAATTGACTCCCAATATTGAGATAAAGCTTTATAAATTATAATATGTCATCTTCATCATAGTCATTATCCTTGCTCAGAACTTTCAGAATTCATTGGGACACAGAAATAGAGGGACTTTACATAGTAGAGATATGTAATTTGCATTTAAAAGGCTGGATAAATTAAAAGTGCATGCATGGATTTATTCAAGTGTGACTTGAAGGGGGGAAAGTCTATTAATAACTACAAAACATGATGACTCTTTAAGTATTAGATTTATTTATTAGATTTTCATCCAGGTGCTCAAGGCAGTATACACAGTGCTCCAATTTTGTCTTCACAGAAGCAACTCTTCAATAGAGAAGAAAATTTGTAGCTCAAAGTTGAACTGTGAAGTCCTTGGTGCTCTCTGAGCTTGATTGTTTGCTTGCAAAGATAACATCCAGTTTGCATCACAACTGATTATGGTTCCAAGTTGAGTAATGGAATGTCTAAATGCAAACAATCAAGCTTACAAAGCACGAGGAACTCCACCAAAAAACAACAACAACAACAACAACAACAACAACAAACCAAGAGACTGAAGGAAAGTTACTCACTGACTTTCCAGGTCCAAGGATGGGTTTGATTAGTACAACACAATGTCTCTCTATAAGATTTCCCTAAAATCAGTACTAAATTGACTATCACAATCAGGTGCAGGGGACAATAGCAAAAAAATAGCATGACAGCC